GATTTGATCCTTGTCTGTCTCTGGCTGGTTTTCCCCACCCTTTCTGGGACTCACTGAAACCTTGACACACTGGATTCACTTCCTCCAGGAACTCAACAAGTTCACTCCTGTCCAACTCTGAGAACCTGCTGATGCTTATTGCTCTTGCCCCAGGTCATAATGGACTGTTTCCTCCCAGGTTACCTCTCAAATCTAATGGCTTTTCTTCAGAGATGACTTCCTGCCTCCCAACTGTGCATTCTGCACCACGTGCCCCAGCCCATGACCTCCATATATCAAAGTTTTTTAATTAATCTTAATGATCTTGGGACTAAATTTAAATCGTGTGATCAAAACAAGTAAACTCCATGACAGTGGAAGATCTTGTCTTTATTGTTCACTACAGTTTTCCAGGCAATAATACCATTTTTTAGTACATAATGAAATCTTAATAAATATGAGACATTATCAAAAATAGAGCAGATTTTTAAATTTTAAAAATGCATTGTGGTAAAAGACGCATTGCCATGAATCTGCCTCAGAATACTCTCTTTGTTTTGAACTCACTTATCCCATCCTTCTTTCCACTTTCTGAAGAAGTTCTGGAATCTTTCATCTTCAGATCCACTATGGTGGCTGCCTGATTGTCCCGAATCTATTAAAAGCATTTAATTTTTGTCATCATTTTGATTTTGGAGAATAATCAGTGGTTGAATGGTGACAGATCCTATGAATGAGGCAGTTGATGACACACTGTAATAATTTTATGCACTGCCTTTCCATTGGATGGCACCTGACAGCAGCACTCACCAATTTTTTTTTTATTTCTGCTTGTGAAGACATTCACCAATTAGAATCCCAGAACTGCTTCAGAAAGTGGCAAAGACAAAGAGTAAGTGTGTTCAGAGGAGGAGCATTTGGAAGGGGCTGACTGGCAATGCGTCTTTTACTGTATTTTGTTTTTATTTAGACACACAGCAGTTTTTGTTTAGCCATTGTATTTATCAAATGAATAAAAAAAGTTAGCTAAAAGAATTTACACTCTACGCAGTGAGAAATAACAGGGTTTTTTAATTATAACATCACATTATCAGAATTAATATAGGAAAATAATTTTACAACATCATACAATGTATTGGAGAGGGCATTATCTGGAAATAGATCTGTTGATGGCTAAGGCCTTTAGTATGCTGGCATTAAGGAAATGAAGAGACCCATGGAGACACAAATCAGAGGTAGACTTGTCTGCTGAAGGGGTCCCTGGAAAGGGAGCTATTACATGATTCCAAGTTCCAGAGAACAAGTCATTTGGAAACTTGTGAATCATTTTATTAAGGTCTACATTGAAACATGATTAAAAAGTAAAAGCAGAGAAAAAAGGGAAATGAACAGACAGAGTGAAGGCAGACAGAGTGAAGTAATAAGACAGAAGAAATGGATAGAAGAAAGTAAAGTGAGAGAAAAACCTTTATGGGAGAGCAAGAAAAAGCAAAATTTTGGTGAAAATATGAAAAAATTATAATTGTATAAATATGCATATGAATTATAATATACACATTGTTGATAGGCAGGTAAAATGGTGCAATGTTAAGCAGAATTATTCTATGGCCCATTCCTCTCTTGTATGTATACACAAAGGACATTAAAAATACATTATCTATACACAGCTTAACATGAACTTTCATAGAGACAATGTTCATAATCATCAAAGAGCAGAAACAACACAAATGTATGTCAGTTGATGAATGGATACATAAAATGTGAAAATATTCATAAGGTGGAATATTATTTGGCAATAACAATGCAACTTGAGAACACAGTGTTAAGTGAAATAAGTCAAGATACACAAATTCAAATATCACAGTTTCCCTTATATGAGAAACATATATATATATATATATATATATATAT